GCCCATTCATTACTCCTAAAGAGATTACGGCGGAACGTATGTAGGTGGCATCCTTTGGTTCGGAACAGTTGCAGCAGAGCCTACTCTGGGTGAAGCAGCGGCCAAAGGTGGTGGTGGCTTATACAAAGGGTTTTCGTGCTGGGACACCTAAAAATAAGTATTAGCCCACAAGTTAGTCTAACGGATTAAGTATTTAGGCGGGCTCATTATGATTAAAACTGCGACCTCAGAAGGCTTTTCTTCTGTTAAGCTAGGTTACATAAGATAAACCTTATTTCGCATCATGTAAGATGGAAGTCAGCTTAAATAATTTTCTTCTCCCATTTTGGAGCTACAAACCTTAAGTGGCGGTCGTTCTTCCTTTGTCAGCATTGGCGTTGCAGCATGAGCCATTTCAACGTCTTCAGCGACTTCTTCTGGGAAAACCACAGGCATTCCTTTGCCCATATAGTCAGATGGCTTTTCCTAAAATATTGTTTCACCTGAGACCTTTTACGCCTAGGTAATGTAATTATTAAGTGTAGATCCTAGAAGGCAGATGAAGTGAAAGCCATTCGATAAATTTAAAATCCCACCTTCTTTTTGTTTTTCCTCAATGCGCTGCAGACAGCCACTATTAGAATAGTTAACAGCAATACAAGGATCAGTACGCCAAAGAACACTGTCCATGGGAATGCGGCCTGATCGGCTGCTTCCATAGTGGGCGCCGTTGAGACTGGCTCCTGCAAAAACACTTAGCACTCAATGATCAGCGAAAAGCAACGAAGAGCACTTGAAGTCCTCGCACGAATCTTACCACTTCCTTATCCAAACAGCTGCCGGTTAGGTCCATATGCGCTTTGCGAACATGAAATTGGGAGCCGACCTGCTTCACGAACTCGATTTTCGTTTGAGAGCGTTGTCGAGTCAACATCGTATGGCGAATGCTCTCCAGAGCTGGGTGGGCACAAATCTGGAGGAAGAAAGTTTAATTCACTGGCGAGAACTTAATGAAATTTCAATTTGCTTGACAAATTCCTTATTTCTACTAAAGAAGCTTCCAAATCAAGAAAAATTGTCAATTGCTCCACAAATTTCAATCACTTAAAACAGCTCACCCCTTTTCCTCAAAATTTTATCTAACTTTCTCCTTCAAACATGGTTCATACTGCAAACGTCCCCACAACCTTCTTCAGTTCATTTAACTGGTTTCGATCCGGTATCCTGCATCCTATTCGGTCTCCTTAGGATTATGAAACTTACCGTGTGATTTATGTCACCTTACAAAAAAAGGATTGCGGTCAAACTCGTCTCTCATACGGAACCGGTTTTACTTGTCTAGTAGTTTACGACCTAAACTTTGACACAACAAAAACATAACAAAATCTAACCTTATGTGGCACAGTGTTGTTACTCCAAGTGACAAGGCTCTTCGTTGCGTTTCCGGTGATATTCCGGATGGTGATTGCATCAGGCTTTGAGCGGAAAGCGTGCGCAAGTTGGTGGACAAATGCGGACAGTGACGATGGCTTCGACAGACGTGCTATTGGTGTATCCAACTCCAGGGATACGATATGATTGAAGGGAAATGAGGGAGTCACGGATACCTTGAATGGAGCTGACGCCATCTGTAAATAGTTGGGATTACTGTAATCCTTACAAAAGT